TGGGTTTTTATGCATAAGCTGTTTATTTATTCTCTTACCCTCAGCTGCTGTTTTTCCTTCCCCATTTACAGCCCAAAGCCAATCAAAGAAGGACATGTGCAGTGTGCTGCTGTTCCTGTACATTTTTTAAGTGCATAACAATGTAAGAATTTGTTAACCGGAGACATACACATGTATGTCTGACTATGCGTAAAAATGTAATCTTTGTAATGGAGCCATGCACATGGCTATCTGGAATCATAAAGAATGTAATTAATTTTAGGATATTGATACCTATGATGAGGGAGGGAGGAGAACGGGATGGAAATGTGAATTTTAGGTGTGACGGCAACATTTTGCTTCTTAAAAACAGAGATATCGTTGTGGGCTGAATCATGTCCCTGAAAATTCATATGTTGAAGTCCTAACTCCAGGACCTCAAAATAGGGCTGTATTTGGAGAGAGGGCCTCTAAAGAGGTAATTAAGGTCAAGTGAGGTCACATGGGTAGGCTCCAATCCAATGTGACTGATAGTCACGTAAGAAGAGAAGATTAGAACTCAGACACACACAGAGGGAAGACCGTGTGAGGACAACAGGGAGAAGCGGCCGGGGAGAGAGGCCTCAGAAGAGACTAAACCGGCCAACACCTTGATCTTGAACTTCGGCCTCCAGAACCGTGAGAAAATAGATTTCTATTGTTTAAGCCACCCTACGTGTGGTATTTTGTCATGGCAGCCCCAGCAAATGAATGCAACATCGGAAGCAAATAGGGCAGAATTGAACGTCTGTTCTTTCTGGGTATTGGGGCCGGAGATACAGGTCATACTATGTACTCTTCTGCTATTTGAAATATTTCCATAATAGTTAAGAAAATAACAAGCAGATCCCGAAAAAGAATAACCAGAGAATAGACATTTATGTGTGATTGCCTTACAGGCCAAGGTGGGTTTCGTGTTGGGCAGGTGGTTCTCTTCCACAGGGTGTGTCAGTCACCCATGAATTCCCGTCTCTTGGCTCCGCCATTCCTGACGCCCGTATCATTGTCTGCAACCAATCTGCACAAGGAGAAAGAAGGAACACGGAGAAGACACACCTGCTTTCAAAAGTTCCAACCTGGAAATGGCACACACCACTTCCACTCCCATTGCATTGGCTGAAACATAGTCACACGCCACACCTCACTGCAAGTTGCTGGGTGACTGCCTTCCTGGGCACCCAGGACAAGGATGTGGACAAACAGCCAGTAGTCCCACCCACAATGTCATCAGGTTGACCCTGATCTTCATGCTGCTGCTCAGTCTACAGCGTGTCTGCCAGGCCTATGGTTAGGGTTTAGATATTTTACAAAGGCGCGGGGTTGGGGGTCATGGTTTGGGACTTCAAAGAGGAGGAAGCCAATTCACAGGGAGACAGAAAACCAAATGTTTGCTGGGCCATCTCTAAACAAATGAGAGAGAACTTGTGTAAAATGGGCCCGGCTAGGTACCTCCTTCTCTACCACATCTAGAGTTCCCTACGTTGACAGCTCCTTCCTGGAACAGGACTTCTGTCTTAAATTCTTTGAGGCAGTTAGGGGCAAGGCCAAAGTTTCTTTTATATATAAATTTTATGTGTATATATGTAATTTATAGAACTAAATAAATGAATTTAAATATAGATACAATGGATTATATATTCTATTATATATCAATATTAATATATTATATATATATAGATAGATAGATAATCTCCTTGGTTCTCCAGAGAGCCCTGACGAATACAGGAGGAGTTAATATTCTTTTATCTATGGCACTTACATTTAATCATTTGAAATTCTTAGTTACGACATTGTTATGGCTTGCAAGGAAGTGTCCTTTACAGTGTTTCATTTAGAGGCCTCAAGATACCAATTTTAAAAAGTTTCCCATTTTATTTGTTTGGTTTGATAGGCTTTTTCCAATTGAGTGCACAGATAAACCAATTTAGGAATTTCAAACGAGCCCCATTTAGACCAGTGAAGCTTTAAATCACCCTGAGTAATCTGAGCCCAGTGGGACAAAAATCTACATGTAGAAGGTCTGTATTCTTTAAAGACAAAACCAGCAGGAGTCCCAGAGTGGGGCTGTTCTTTGGTGGTCCTCTTAGAAAATGGATTTCTCATTTGTATGAACTTACCAAAGGATCAAAGGCCCAAAAAAGGAGTGAAAGAAACAGAAGTTTCTAACAAAGCTGACAATGGAAGGATGGCCAGAACCAGTATCAAAGGACGCCGACATAAAGAGTCTGGACCTCTACCAAAAATGGGAGGTCCAGGCCCAGGAGGACTTACCACCAGGAACCAGAGCCACCAGGAGGAGACGACAGAGCACAAAAGATTCTTTGCAGGCACCTTGCTTGTGTCTGTGAAGTGGCACCAGAATTGAAGGTCAGTAGCTAGGGATCCCACTTCTGTCACCATGTAAAGTCAGCAAATAAGAGGCATAAACTGCAAAAGAACCAAAAAGTTTATTTGGGGTCTCAAGAATTGCAATTCAGGAGATGTAGATTCGAGTAGAAGCTCAAATGTGCTCCTAGGAAGACAAAGGAGGCAGGGGTAGATGAAAGGAAAGGACACAGGCT